CCTACAGGAACGACAAGCTGAAGATCCACATGCGCAAACACACGGGCGAACGGCCCTATTCGTGCCAGCACTGCAGCGCCCGCTTCCTGCACAGCTACGACCTGAAGAACCACATGCACCTGCACACGGGCGCCCGGCCCTACGAGTGCTACCTCTGCCACAAAGCCTTCGCCAAGGACGACCACCTGCAGCGGCACCTCAAGGGCCAGAACTGCCTGGAGGTTCGCACCCGACGCCGGCGCCGCGAAGACCCCCCTCCTCCGCCGCCCCCCGACGCTCCGCCCGGCATCGACCTCTCCAATGGGCGCTTGGAGGGGCTGCGCCTCTCCCTGGCTCGTTATTGGGGGCCGGCGCAGATTAAGGAGGAGGAGGAGGAGCCGGAGATGGAGATGGAGCCTGAGGCTGAAGAGGGGCCGCAGCCGGACGGCATGGTGCCCGTGGAGATGGTGTAGAGCGGCCGGCCCGGTGGGGCACGATGGGGGGCGGTGGGCTGAGCCGGGCCGGGCCGGGCTGAGCTGGGCTGAGCCGAGTTGAGCCGTGCTGGGCTGGGCTGGGCCGAGCGATGCCAGGCTGAGCTGAGCTGGGCTGAGCCGTGCTGGGTTGAACCAGGTGATGCCAGGCTGGGCTGAGCCGGACCAAGCTGTGCTGAGCTGAGCTGAGCCGAGCCGTGCTGGGCCAAGTGATGCCAGGCTGGGCCAGGCTGAGCCAGGTGATGCCAGGCTGAGTTGTGCTGAGCTGAGCTGAGCTGGACCAGGCTGTGCTGAGCTGAGCTGAGCTGTGCTGGGCTGAACCAGTGATGCCAGGCTGGGCTGAGCCGTGCTGGACCAAGCTGGGCTGAGCCAGGTGATGCCAGGCTGTGTGCTGGGCTGGGCTGAGTTGAGCTGGGTTGTATCAGGCTGGGCTGTGCTGAGCTGAGCTGCGTTGGGCCAAGCTGTGCCAGGCTGAGCCGTGCCAGGCCAAGCCATGCTGGGCCAAGCTGTGCCAGGCTGAGTTTGTGCCGGGCTGAGCTGAGCCAGGTTGTACCAGGCTGGGCTGAGCTGTGCTGAGCTGCGTTGGGCCAAGCCGTGCCAGGCTGCACCGTGCTGAGCCGTGCTGAGCCGTGCTGAGCCGCTCCAATCAGCACCGAACAGCAGAGTTCTGCGCTGTGCCGATCCGCGCTGAGCGGAGCCGTTCTGTTCCGTTCCGGTCCAGATGGAGCCCAGCGCAGCCCCGGCCGTTCCGTGCGGTACCGGAAAGGAGCGAACCGTCCCGAACCGGGCGTTGCCCTCTGGGCCGGGGAGGAGCGGATCGGTTCCTCCCGTTGTCCCGGAGCTGCGCTGCCCGCTTCGCCCCGCCGCGCTCCGTTCCTGTTTTTCCCGTCACGGTTTGTTCTGAATTATGCAAAGGGGGAAATTCCCCCCCCTGGCGGATTTGCACAA